ATTGGTATGGTGCTTAATACTATTTATTAGTAGTATTTACTATTATTTATTATTATTACTATTTATTATTGAACTAGTAGTTAAAAATTACTCATATTTGTGTAAATCTATTAATTCCTGGGGAACTCTATGAAATTTACATGCACAAAAAAATCAGTATTTCACTAATATCATTAATGTAATCATATAAAATAACTACTACTAAAAATTTAATTCTGTGCCATCTAGTAACATTTTGAAGACAATGCACCATCTACACATCTTTTCTCTATGCAGATGCCCTCAACTTATTATGAAATTACAGTTCAAGAAACTCACCATAAATTGAAAACACCATGAGTCAAAAATGCATTTTGTACCAAGTGGGGTGGCACACACCTGTAATCCCAGCTGCTTGGGAGGCAGAGGTAGGAAGATCAGAAGTTCAAAGCCAGCCTCAACAATGGCAAGGAGCTAAGCAACTCAGTGAAAACCTGGCTCTAAATAAAAAAATACAAAATAGGGCTGGGGATGTGGCTCAGTGGCTCAGTGGTCAAATGCTCTTGAATTCAATCTCTTGTACCCCCCCCCCCCGCAAAAACAAACAAACAACAAAAAAAAAAACTCATGCGTTTTGTGCACCTAACCCAACATCCTAGTTTAGTAGATAGTACAGAGTAGGGTGTCTATTTTCACCATCATGATCCCATGTCTGGCGGGGATCTGTGCTCAGTGTCATGGCCCAAAATTGCCAGAAAGTATCATATTGCATATTGCTACTCCAGGAAAAGATCAAAATTCAAATCCACAGTGTCTGTAGTTGCTACTGAATACACATCACATTTGCATAATGTTAATTCGATCATCATTTGTCAATCACTTCTAGGTTTGTAGCTTTAGTACCAACTATGTACTAGAGACCATAAAATTGACATTTTGATGCACATCTCCTTCCTGAACTCACAGCCATGATTTCCACTTCCCACTTATTATCTGCACTTACGGGCATGCAGGTCTAATAGCATGTTTAAAAAACAGAAGCTCTCCTCATTCCTATAATCTTACTTAACCCATACTTTTCTCCATTTCAAGTAATGGAAATTTAATTTTTTCTGCTTTCTGGGCACAAAATTTTAGAGTTCTCCTTGTTTATGTTCTCTTCCACTCCACATCCAATCCATTAACAAATCTAGTGAGCTCCACCTTCAAGTAACATCTGAAATCTGCCCACTTCTCATCATGGGCACTTCTCTCTAGTCTTTTCTTCCCTGGCCTATCTCAATAACTTCCTCACTGCTCTCCTGATCATCTCCCCTTGTTTCACTACAGCAAAGGGATCCTTTAAAGCATATATCAGATCAATCAGATCATATCTTTCCTCTACCCAAACCCTTCAGGGGTTTTCAATGTTCCTCAGTGTTGAAGCCTAAATCTTTAATGGCACCTATAAAGCCTCATCTCATCTGTGACTTCATATCCCACTAATTTCCCCCTTGCTCACTCCACTCCAGTCACACTGCCCACTCTGTCCTCTTGGAATACATCTGAGATGCTCCAATCCCTAAATTAGGTTTAGTTTTGGTTCCTTTGTTCTGGAAGTACCTTTCCCCAGGTATCTATAAATATTACTTCCTGCCTTAATTATGGTGTCTGCTCACATACGATTTTTACCAATAAGCCATTCAATAGGGAGCCCCCTCTCTCTCCACACCTTGCATTTTCTGATTAGACATGGTTGACTAGCTCACCAGATAAACACTTGTCCTCTTCTAATTTTTTCCATAACACCTATCAACCTCTATCATACTACACATGTCCTTGCTTATTTACCTTACTCCAGAAGTTCAAGAAATTTATTTAAAAAAATTATTATATCACTTCACTTAAAAGAAAACTTGGTACATAACACACAATACATATTTATAGAACAAATGTGATTATGTAAAAGCACTAACAATAGTAGAAATTAAAATCAGCCATGAAAGGAAGGTAATAATTATATCTTAAGGTCCATGCTTATAAGAAAGACCATAAAAATTAGCACAAATATATATGATTAGTGTGATTATATCATGATTAATTATAAATGTGATTATATATGATTAATTTTTCTAAGAGATTAATCATGTCTTCAGAAGAAACTTGGATTGCATCAAAAAATATGATAAAGTGTGTGAGAGAAATGAAAGGTTGAATCTGGATCATGTAGAAGAAAAAGATTTATAACAAAAACAGAACATTTCTCTCATTTGCCCCTCCCTTATATGTGTTTGTCTTCTTTCATTAGATAGTGGAGTGTCTGAAAAGATGTCACTGAGAGTTCCTTCAAATGTGGTTGAAGGATCTGCCAGGGCAACATATTCAGTTTTGGGTGAGTCTCTCAGATCAACAGAAACAGCTGTCTCTCTCCACAATTCTAGTGCATGGGCTCACTACCCAGGATTAATAAAATCACTGACACTCAGCATTGGATTAAAAAAAAAAAAGAACACTAAGCTAAGGATTGCACTCTGTATCAGTTAGAAAAGGGGGTTCAATGAATGTTGTGTGACATGTGATGCCTGGATATAGTTTAAAACGTAAGGAGGGTCACAGTTCTGAACCCTCATCTTCAAGTGGTTTGCTAGGTGGCAATGCTTCCTAGTGGATTTTGAAATGGTTAGTAGTTCCATTTTATGATATGCATGGTCCTTCAGAAAAGGTGTTGTCACCTGCCATTCATTTTTTGCCTGCTTTTTAAAACATCCTAGAAACATCTGTTTTCTCACCTTTTGCTTTTCTTTCATTTTTCTTTCTCACCTTTTGTGCTTTCTGGTTCTTCCCTTCTTAATTACTGTAGCATCTCAGTTATCTAGTCTTCTATTTTCCTAGGCCATCACAAACCACTTCTGTGTTCCTCTGATTTTCTTTTTTATGAATTTCATTACCCAGGAGATATACTAGGATCTGCAATGTACAACCTCCAGAATCTTTTAGATGCCCTATGGTTGTGGAGAACAAAATATGGTTCTTTTTGTCCCTAACATCTATGTCCTGAATTATCTGAATGAGACACAACATCTGACAGAGAAGATCAAGTCCAAGCCATCAGCTACCTTGTCAGTGGTAAGAGATTACCTCAAAAGAAGAAATGTCAATGGACCTCCTAACTATCTTGTGGTGAACTCAAATCAGTATCAGTATATTTACTTTTCTTGTGCTTTCTTCCTTGACCTCTGAGATATTTATAAATGCACCGTTTAATTTTGAAATAGTTGACATGTGGGGTTAGGGTTCCAAATATATTTAGGTGATTGATTTCTAATGTAATAAATCATGAAGAAACACTGTCTGCATGGTTTCAAATTTTAAAAGTAATGGAAATGCTTTTTATATTGATTGTATTGGTTACATACATGTCAAAACTGATCAAATTGCACACTTCAAATATGTGCAGTTTATTTTAATTTCATTTTACCTCAATAAAGCTAGGGAAAAATATTAGATAATTTTAGATTTTGGATAAAAAATAAAGACTTATTTTTTTCAGGGAACTAATCCCATGAAAGCATTGGTTTGGGAAGATTTGACCTATCTGTGCTCTCAGGGTCCACTAGGGAGAGAAGAAATGAAAGGCTAGAAGACAGGTAGAACATTAATTCATATATAGAAGAAACAGGCTGGAATTTGTCTGATGGTGGAGGAATGGAGAAAATGTAAGTTATAAATACTAACATTTACATATTTAACTCTTAAAATATGGTTGCATCATGCATTTAAGTTCCTGGACAGATGCATCTCTCCCAGCTGGTCCCACAAGCAGTTGGATTAGTTGGGAGGAGGTAGAGCCAGGTGGGTTTCCACAGCCAGATGTCCCCTGTGTAAACCTCTTTCCACATTTGATTTTCATCTGGTCACTTAAGCACACTCTGTGTTATGCAATGTGTGTGTGTACTGGGCCAATATTTTGAGCCAAACTTGGGTTTCTCAGGAAACAGCCCTCTCAGCTGCCAGTCCCCGGGCAGTGGCTGAAAAATTATTCCTTCCTGTGTCCTGAGAATTCCACCTGGATAGATGGCAGCTTTTTTCCTTCTACAAGGATATGGTGAAGCATGTCTTTCAGGTTTGTTGGGCAATGTCCTTGATCTCTAAACACTCCGAACCCAGACATGCTTTAGGCTTCCCCCAAAATACAGGTTCCTTTAATTCCCTTATCTCTTCATTATGCTCATGAAGGGACCTCTCTGGCTGGTGCTTCCAGTCTTGCTGTACCACTGGGGATTTCTTATTTTATTATATGCAACCTCCTGTGTCCCCAATCTACATTCAGTGTTAAGCTTTAAATTCCAGTAAAGTCTCCAAGACTTTTTTTGTTCACCCACCTTGCTGAGAAGCTGCCTGTCTGCTTTCTTGGTTTTATTCCCTGGAGAAACCAGGAAAGCAACCTCCTCTATTCTTTCATCATGAAAACCTCCTGCTAAAATTATTTAATGTTTCACCCCAAATATTTCCCATCCCTAGTAATCATAAATGCACAAATCCAAGTAGGCAGAGCCCTTTGGTTTTCTGGAATTGGCTTACTTCCATTTCCATGTGTTGTCTTAAACCCTTCCTGGCACTCCCTGATGCTTCTGTCTACAGAAATGTTCCTTAATACTCAAGGGTATCATTTCTCACCTTCATCAGTCTTCTTTTACTGTCTAGACCACATTTTCTTCTGCCTTTTCTGAATTTTTGAACAAATATTGCTACATGAATTTATAAATTATTGAAATAGCCTTTCCTTATGTCAGATAGTTGTGTCTTATTGCTATATGTTTATTGTAAGCTACTTCAATGAAAAAAATTATTTATTTCCTCCAAAGTACCTAGAATAGTTCATCATTCAAATCTAGATTTGAACTGAATTTAGATTTTATTAATGAATTGTGTTTATTACTAAATAATCCTGAATGAGTATAAATTTGATATGGTTTACATTCGGTGTGATTTAGCTATCTTCCTCTTCTGTAATTTTTGTACCCATCTTTTTTCAGGATACAGTGGTAGCTCTCCAAGCCCTCTCCAAATATGGAGCAACAACTTTCACAAAAAAGTAAGATGGCAGTTTCGGTCACTGTCAAATCTTCTAACACATTCTCTGAAGAATTCCACATAGATGATGACAATCGCCTGCTGCTGCAGGAGGTCATGCTGTCTGAGATTCCAGGGGATTATGACACCACAGTGTTGGGGTCAGGATGTGTGTACCTCCAGGTGAGACTGCCATGGTGTAAGGGATGCTGAGAGAAAGTCTCAAGAGTAAATTCTGAATGTTAAAATAGGAAATGTGTGCTAACAAAAGAAATGAATTGTTTGAAAGTTATTGTTGAATTTTTTGTGTGCAAAGATGAAGTATTTCCCTTTTTTTTTAAGACTTCACTAAGATATAACATCCTTCCCAAGAAAGAAGGGAAAGTTCCCTTCACTCTGCATGTTGATTCTCATCCCAAAATTGTGATGGAGTAGATGCTCACAGGAAATTTCAGATTCATATCAACATTAGGTAAACCCTAAATCACAACTAGACTTTTTTGTAGAATATGAAAACTTTTTTTTCCTTGTATTGGGGGAACTCTATTGTCCAAATTAATTATGTAATGGGTATGGAAGTCTTGTAATATGTATTTATAAGAAAATTGTCTTCACCCTTACTGAAAAGCCTTAACCTTAATAATATATTGCCATAACTGAAGAGTAGAGTTGACAAGGGTGGGTTTGTCAAAGAACAATAACACAGATACAGTAGATAGAGAAACTGAGTGGTACAAATAAACAAGGGGAAACTTCTATCTTCAATCAATTCCAAGGAATTTTATTTGAAGGTTTATCACTCTGCCTTACTTCATAGTTACACTGGCGAAAGACCCAGATCCAACATGGTTATTGTGGATTTGAAGATGATATCAGGCTTCAGTGAAAAAGGTAAACCCAAAATGTCTTACAGATAGCAATCCCATGATAAATTGTGATATTTACATTGTCAACTTGATTTTACTAATGTCCTGGATCTTGCAGCTCTAAAGTATATTCCCATAGTTTTAGTGTGGGTTGGAAGATTATATGATATCAGTTAAGGTAAAAGTCATAAAAATGAAAAATAATGTTCTAGAAGGCTTAGACATCTAGGTATGTGCAGATATACTGAGTTACCTTCCAACTACACAAAAAGAAAAAAAGAGGGTATATAAGTTAACTGTCACATATACCTATAGGATATAAATGTATATTCAATATATGGATATATGAGAGGAATAGGATCAATAAATATTATCATTATTGTTATTCCTGAAGAAATAAAAAGTAGTAATTTGAATGCTCCAGAGAAGTCATTTTGATGATAAATACCTAAAAACTGCTCTCAGTATAGAATTTCTTCATGTTTCTGGCTTATCCCCTTTGTCCATAGCTTCAAGAACAGCCTGAGATTCAAAGGACTGAAGTGAGGACCAATCCTGTCCTAATCTACCTTAGGAAGGTAAGACTTCATAAGACTCTGCTAGGTCTGTAAAACTAATAGAAGTTTTAATAAGTCTATCCAGACTCCAAATAATGCTTTTCACATACACAATGAGGAAGGACAAAAGAGTCACAAAGGGAAATGGGACAACTGGTCAGCGAGGTTCACTTTGCTCCATTTGACTGCCACAGAAATTTTGTCCTTCTTTTTATGTCATTGGGTATGTTAAGCAAGTCACAAAATTCCCCATTCTTTCTTAGATTTTGATAGGGATATAAAGTACAGTTATGGGATTTGGTAATATTTTAAGAAAAGGAGATGGTAACAAGTAAAAAAGCTAATGTTTGATTCCAACTCATTTTTCCTGTCTCTCCAGCTAACCAATCAAGCCCTGAGTTTCTCCTTCTTGGTGGAACAAGACATGCAAGTAAAGAATTTAAAACCAGCTATAGTAAAAGCCTATAATTATTATGAGACAGGTGAGTGAGATTTACATATGCTGAGCTTTAATACAAAAAACTAACACCGTAAACAGTTGCATTAACTGATATGAAACTCCAAGATATTTCACTGGAAGAAAAGGCAAGTTTTGGTCACTAAAAAATCATGTCCCTGTATATTAATCTCACATTTGCTCCCTAAGAAAGTTTTCTTGACACATGAAAACTCCCTGTGTTTGCAACAAGAGGAAGCAATTAGTGATAAAGGCACATCTTAGCCACTGGACACATGTGGCCACTTCTACTTCCCATCTCTTCAGAGGAAGTCTACTCAACCCTCGCATTCCCCCATTTGTAAAGAAACCGGAAAGAGCTAATCAAACAAATCCTCCACTTGCATCTCTTGATATGTATGAGGAAGAAAAATGCAGCAGTGTTCAGGGGATATTCACCTGTGTTTTTTCCCCACACTGATCCCCTCGTTTTGTTGGTTGGTTTGGCTGGTAAGTTGGTAGGTCTCCTAAGAAATTTTGTCTCCAAATAAATCCAGAGCCCAAGCTGTGAACTTCATTACTCTTTTATGCCTGAAAGGAGAAGGGTCCAGGAACACTTGAGGGAACTCATATTCTAAGCTCAGGTGTCCGTGAAATCAATACCTGAAAAAGGATAAGCCTGGAATCACTATGGTTAAATTATTGGAAAATCAATTCCTGAACCCAGAGAGAGAAATCTAGGATTTGAGGCAGAGTTGGATTAGGGAAAGTGAACTCTTAGGAAGTGAGACCACTCTTCTGCTACCAGACTCCTCCCTTGGCTTTTCCTGGCTCTTCTCCTGGTTTCCTCTAATGCTATAGCCGCAGAGGTGAAAGCCAGCCAGACAAGTATACATGTGTTCACATGTGCTGTGTGCATATGTGTGTGTGTGTGTGTGTGTGTGTGTGTGTGTTATACATGCATGCTCAGGTGCATGGATGTGTACATAATAGGCATGAGTATCTGTTGGTGGGGAAGGTTGCAAGGCTGTGTGTATGCATGTGTGCCTGCACACCTGTGCACATACATTTGTTTGTGTATGTGTAGGTGTGTGTTAATTTGGAGTGTAAGTCAAGGAAGGAATGTACCCTTCTTTTGCAGAGGAATCTTATTCTCACTATCCTTCTATGCAAAAGGAAACATGAAAAAAAACACCACTTCACCTTTAAGAAAAATTATGAAAATAAAGTAATATAGTTCTTTTTATTATCCACACATTCAATCAAGACCCAGCCCCATTCATGGAGAGCAGAGGGGCCAACCTTGCAGCCTGGATAGCAGCATTTATCCCCCTGCAATTGCTCTCCCTTTCCTGTGCTACTGGATAGACCTCCATTTCCCACCCCAGCAAAAAAAGGACTAAAATGTGCTGAGGATTCTCTCAGATGAATGAGTTGAACAGAGGGGGTATAGAGAAGGGGGCAAATGCCCCATTCACTTTGGGCTATTGACTTTGATGCCTGTGGAAGAAGAATTTAGCTTCTGGACTTGCATCTGATACTCCTCCTGGGGGTGAGGACAGGGCTCTCAGACTGCAATGCCCCTAGGGGGGCCTGGACTCAGAATAAGGGGATTAGTTGTGCAAAATCAAGTCAGGTCCCTCCCAATCATATATCCTGACCTTATCTGAGCCACACCTCCCCTGAGGTCTTTCAACTAAACCCTCCAAATGTAATGCCCAGTTTCCTTGTTCCCTCCCCCTGATCAAAATCCATATTTCTCCACATTTACTCCTCTTCTTCAAATTTAGAATAGCTTCCTCAATATTGATGTGATTAGCAAGGTACATTGGGAGAAACAAAGGGCATCTTTAGTACAGAGACAGCCAGTATCTGCATTTCCTAGAGCTTCCATAACAAAGTACTGAAACTTTGTGTGACTTTAAACAGAAATGTACTCTCTCATAGTTCTGGAGGCTAGAATTCTTAAATCAAGGTGTTAGCAGGGTCATTTTTCTTCTGAAAGCTGTTGGGAAGGATCCTTTCTTGCTTCTTTCAGCTTCTAGTGGCTTGCTAGCAATCATTAGTGTTCCTTGGCTTGCAGTATTAGAGAAACAATGATCTAAAAATACTTATTAAAGCATGGGAAGATACTTTATCCAGGACCATCATAATAGGTATAGAGACTATTGCAATAGGGTCTTCGGCTGGGGCAGAGGACAGGGAGAGACTTTACTCAACTCCAAAAATCATGAAAGCAAGTAGGAATTCATAGCCAAGCAGCATGGGACAATGTGTATAGAACATTATTAAGAAGAAATATCAGGGTTGAGGGTGAGTCTGGCTAAACTAACAGGATTCTTGTTGGAGATAGACCAGAGTGGGCAGATATCACCCAAGAATGATAGAGGATGAGGACGCTGATCAGAAATGAAGGATGATCAGATATTGGAGAATGGGATGTTCTTGCTAAACTGACATAACAGGGTTCTTTGCCAGCACAGGATTTGACAAGGAGGAGCCCAATGGGTCTAGGACAGCTCAGGAGCCATAAAGAAGACTGGCCAGAAAATCTTGTTCAAGAAAAAAGAAGAGATTTCTTTTTAATAATACAACTCCATATTCTCATTGACTACCTTCTATTTATGAGGACCCACAAACCATATGTAGGATTTGGTAACAGAGGATATTTGCTGTTTGATGCTCACAATCAGGCATTTAATGAGGAGGAATTCCCATGAAAGTAAAGAAAAACAGTGGGAATTCCAGTGTCTGAATCCAGAGGGAATCCAGCTGAGATTTCTCAATGTTAGACTCTAGGATGACAGTGACAATCCAACAGATGCCCTGGTTTACCATTTGAATATCTCTGGGGATGACATCAGATGTTCTGATTAACTTTCTGAGTGGCTCACAGAATGACCAACTCTCTTTATTATCTAGAACACATCTAAAGGATTGTTCCACATGTTAGCCACATCAGAAATCTCTCAAGTGAGTATGATTTACCTTTGTATTTAGCCATTTCTATTCTACTACAATTATGCTCTAAGCCAAAGCTACATCTAACTCTTCTACCAAAATACAAAGGACCCATGTGAAAAAGTCTTCCTGATTTTTCCTATAAGTTCATAAACTTATTCTGTATTCTAATTACTATTTGACTTTATTTTATTTTATAATATTTTATATTTGCAGTAGTGAGGATTGAATTCAGGGCATCAAACATGTTAGGAAGCATGTTGCCACTCAACAAGACCCCAGGCTTTTTATTTTATTATGAGATAAAGTCTTTTACGTCACCAATGTTGGTTTCAAAATTATGATCCTCTTGCTCCAGCCTCCAGAGTAGCTGGGATTACAGGCCTGCCTAAGGATGCCTGGCTCTAATTGTTATATATATATATATATATATATATATATATATATATATATATATATATATATATATATATATTTGCATAGGTTAAGAGCAGAGAAACTTGTGAGTTTTCTTCATTTTTTTCTTTTCATAATAAAATCTTATAGTATTAATGCTTTTAAACTCTGTACCTTCACAACTTTTAGTTGAGCACATTGGGCATTAACAGGAACCAGGTTCACTTCTGAGCTGCTAAGAGGTGACCTGCTGCATGGGATACTGGGTTCTGTGTTCTCTAGAAAGGTA